AAAAAAAAAAAAAAAAAAACTACGGCAATGAAGTCTCATATCTATAATAATTGAAAGAGAAAGGTAAAAAAATCATTTAAGGAAACTTTTAAAAAAATGGTCAATATATGTTTTGACTTCCCATTTGTGGAAAATCCATTAAAAATCCAAAAAATAATAAACTTCCGATTGATTTTCTTTTTGTTTTAAATCATACCTAATTTATTTCTAATTTTCACGCCATTTAGTTTGTTTGAGATTGGCCATATCATCACGTGCTACACTTCACTTGAATAAGGATTTTTAGAAATAGGATTCACTCTATCAATAACCCTATTTTTATTGAGATTGTTAGATAATTTTGTTACCATTTTATCACGTGTTCAGTATATACAGATTTGGTAAATATCCGAACAAATTCATTCCAAAAAATTAGATGAGATAAACATGTAGACATACACCGTGTATAAAAGGGTATTCATTGACACCCTTTTTCATTCATCTCATCAAAACGAAAACGACCTCAAAATACAAAAAAAAAAACAGAGAAAATATTAGGCTCCCTTCTGGAATACAATCGACGCCGTCAACAGATCCAACAAACCTTTTTTGAAGTTGAGTAGTCCTATTGATGAAAACTCATGACGATCTGGATCATCCAAACGCTTTTCACATCCTGAATTAGATCACACAATCAATGTTGTTGATTTATTTTTGAGTTTCCACACAATTGAAATTCGAATGACAAACAATTGATTGTGTTTTTTTTTTTCAGCTATTACTCACACATAATAGATTTTTTGTTCTTTTTTTTATGCAGGTGTTCAAAATATGTTAATGAAAATTTTTTGGTTTCACAACCCAACATCATACACGATGATCATGTATGCAGATGCATATGTAAGTCATAACTCAGCAGAGAACATTCATAAGAAACCAAGCAAAAACATGCGAGACAAAGCCATGTTCAAAGGTAATCTGTATGTTAATGAACTATTATTATATAAAGTTGTTTCTTATTTCATATAACCTGTATAAATATGTTCAACATATATAATTTGCATAATATAAAGAAAAGTCACTCTTTGTCTATGTTATGATCACACATATTGTAGAAAATTAATCTTGCTGCGATATTTTTATGCAATATCGATTACAATTTCCCCTAACCTCTATGTTTTACACATAAAACAATGCATAAATTATGTTAAATTTCCCAAAAAATATGTCAGATGCTTTAGTGGATTCAATAAGAGACGGAAAACAAATGATTCTAGCAAATCATGGAAGCAATAAAAAGAGTAAAAGAGGCAATAAAGAAAACATATTCAAAGGTACACATATATTTTTTGTATTCATTCATATTTGTGGTGAGGTTTATAATCATACCTGATTGCACAATCATTTGACATCTACAACTTGTGCACTGTTTATGTGCTTTTGTTCATGTTGTTGTTTCATCATGCTTGGGATTTTGTATGTGCAGTTTGTACAGCAAAGAGAAGAAAAAAAATCTGTTAGTTACCTTTTATAAAATAGTACTAATGTTTACAGAAATTTGGCTGAATGTAAAAGAATATATGCATGGTATGGTCTGAGACACATGTATGTATATAATGTACGTTTTGCAGTTGTTCAATGTCGGATTTTTCTGTATGCTATAAATTATATATGGATACTTGTTTAGATAATTCATAAGTGTATTTCCATTCAGAACAAACAGCATAGTTACATGATGCGTTATATGTGCAAAACTACTAAATAACAAATTATAAAAATCTTTACATGATTCAGATTCAGAGGAAGAAATAAATAGTACAACTACATATAAAGTAGTCAACAAATTAAGCGAAACAGCCAATCAGTCAAACAAATTCAAAGGTTTCCGTCATGTATTTGTTTATTATGGTTTTGATTTTCCGGTACACGCATTTCAAAATTTGAGTCACCACAAAGATTGTTTGTTGTTTTTTGGTTACTTGATTTATAGAAGCTCGAAGGTCTGTCAAACATATGAAAAAAATAAATTTAGTACAGTTACTGAACTAATCAATTGGAAATTCTTTTATTAAAAACTTGTGAGTTTGTCCATAAAACCATGTGTATGAAAAACATATTCAGGAACTATATTCTACGCATAATATAGGATGCATCTACAATTTTATGGAATTGGGGACTAAAGCTAATATTATATAATTTCGGGATTTGAAAGGAAAATGTTAAAAATTTTCGGGCTTTTTATTATTATTTTTTTTTTTTTTTGGGAAATCAGGCTGAAACCCGATATTTTAGAGAGAAAAAATCGAGAAGAAGGCGGCGATCGGTGCAGTGAAGATGAAATGAAAACCCTACACCAACATTTTGCCTTTTATACCCTTGCCAAAAAAGTTACAGTCGTCCGATCGTTACATGTGTAACAAAACTAGCCGATGGATATATAGGCATTATAAATGTTGGGCTTTCTTGAAAGCCCGATTCAAAAAAAAAAAACAAAAAAAAAAGGCCTTTGTTTGGTCAAAATGGGCTGATGATATTGAGTAGAAAAATATACGTATATCCAATAATATTCTAAATTTGATTTAGATATATTATTTATGTATATTACCTAAATAATAATTACATAACTTATATTAACTTTAATAGAACATTTAAAAGGTACTATATGTTTAAATGATTGAATTCCTTATGGCAACGATATAAAAAAAAAAAAAAAAATTATTTTCAATGGGTTAATAAAACTTTGTAACAAAGTCTTTGATTTATAAAATAATGTCAAATAATATCATATATCTATATTACTAAATCGGAGCTTGTATTACTTTTTATTACAATATACAAAATAAAAGCATACTACAATTATCATTCTTTATCTATTTATTTATTTCTTGGATTTATTAATATTTTACTTTTACATGATTATTTTGTTATTAGATATAAACATATATCACTTAATTATAAGCAATTATTAGTAAATCGAAGTATATCACTTAACCATGTTTTACCGAGATTTTGGTAAGTTCATATCATTTTCTTTACGAAGGAGACAATTGCATAAATATTAACAAATTCTTTCAATTTTGTATTAGAATTATTTTCAATTCAATTTGTTTGGTATAAAAATTGGTGCAATGTTACGAAAATTCGGTTGCATTTTTAGGAAAAATTGATGATTTTTTTTAAAATATTCGGATCAATTTGTTTGATAAAAAAAATCGATTCATTAGTAGGAAAATCGATTTCATTTTCAGGAGTAACTAATGATTCTTTTCAAATTGTCTTAATTTAAATTTAGAATCAGATTTAAAATAAATAATAGGTGAAATTTCCTGAAAATTTCTATTTATTTTCTACAATAATTTTTTTTAATAAATAAGATCCTTTAATTTTTTTAAAATTTGTTAACTAATAACTAATAATATGTAATTTTAGCTAAAATTCGAACACATATGTAGTACTTTACGTGCCAAAGAATCAAACCAGTAATGTTCTACATAAGGAAGTGTTTAATAATATAAATTTCATTTCATGATATTTTTAATATCGCAAGACAATTTAAATACAAAACTACCTTTTAAAAAGCAAATTGACAATAAATGCTTTCGTGCATTGCACGGGTATCGTACTAGTTTATTTCCAAACTAAAAAACACGTGATGAATATAATTTTCAGACTAGTCAAAGTTGAATACAGTTTTAGATTCTTCAAATTCTTTAAAATTGATCCAAATCAAAGAAAATCTATATTTTCTATTCTTCATATAATTATACCTATATATACTCTTCTTTTCGTGTAACAGATTCACAATACGTCTGAATTTGAAGCTGTAAGTCTTACTTTATTTTTATTTTTTTTCTTCCCTAATTCAAAATTCTCAATTTTATGGTAAACATATTTTTTTAATTAAAAAATAAGAAAATTTTATCTTTTACAAAATTATCATGCCGAATTTTAATTCTATGCAATCATATTTTTTTAATAAACAATTGACATGTTACAATTAAGAAAAGATATATGTAATAGTATTTTGTCTAATTTGAAATTTCGGTTTTATGGCAATCAGTTTTTTTTTTTT